AGCAGCAAATTTTTCTATTTTTCATTAGCGCTTCTCATGAATTCGCAAAAACCATCATTACTAATGATATTTTCTCATCTTTTGGCTATGGCTCCCCAGTTTTTAAGCGTAGCTATACATAAATCTTCATTAACCGCAGCATTTGGATTTCTGTACATCATATATATGTAGTTGTGAACTTCATACCTGTTAATATTTCTGTGTCTTCATTTCTAAATGGTATATGTAAGGTCACCATTTCTCTTCTGTACTCGTTGTAATCCTGAGTCATGTCATAATTTCTATAACGAATAACTTGAGGCTGCTTCTTTCTGATGTAATCTCCCTTTCCGTTTTTACTTGTAGTATAGTTCGAAACAAATTGGGCTAAAGAAATTCCTTCCAATTCTTCAGACCGTTTTTGATACTTGTCATGCCAATCTTCCTTCCAAATATCAGTAGAGTCGTCATCAAGTTCAGCAATATGTTTTTGTGTTTTCCTTATCCTCTGTCGTTCAATAGGCCAACAAGTGTTAATATACCATTGGTAACCTTAAAAGATACTAAGCAGCTTCTTGACTACTCATCTCAGTAGTATTCAGCATGTCAATGCTCATTTTACGAGTTATTTCAACAATATCGAATTCTGGATTCTCATTTATAACTTCTATTATTTTGCGTTATAAATTGCTAATTCCTCTGTTGGTTCTACAAGTATTTATATATTCGACGACATATGCCGCGCAAGATTATTCTTCAGTAATTATCTGAAAATCCATATTTGACTTTAAGACATTAAAAACAAATGGATTGAATGTATTGTGCCATTTTTCGGACGGATGTCGTTTATAGAATATTCTTGGTCTACTAATACCAGATTTTAGTATATCTTTGAATTCTTCATCTTATCTGATATTATTGCCTTCATAATAATCATTAATACTGTCATAGTCATCACTTTCTAAGTTAATTATAATTTCATTATATCTTTTCAAGTATTCTTTGTAAAGTGGATTCGTTTTTTCCATCGGTATTAAAATCATTGTAGATTTACAAGGCATGAATGGTGCTTCAAATCGGCACTTTTGCACAGAATTGAAGCAAATTTTTTTGTAGCACGTGAAGGTATGCTTATGCGTAAGAAATTTTAAGTTTCCCGATGCTTCCGACGTTGATACTGATACTAAACTGTTAATCATTTATATTGCTTGTTTTTGCTCTTCTCCAAGAATATCTGTGGGAGCATTATCCAGCCATAAAAAAATATGCGCATGTGGACTTCCTCGATGTTGAAATTCAATCCTCAAAAAGTAGTTAATAACTTTAAATTTCGCAAAGGACTGAACTTCTTTGATTATAAAATTGTTATTATTACATTAACTAATTTGTTGAAATAAATAACACATGTTACAGCATCGTTGTTAATTAATGAGCTTTTTTGGATAAAACTTAGTTCCGATGCGATAAAATTTTGCATATCTTCTTTTTCTTCATCTAATTTATGTAACAATGTTAATAAATCCGGCCACCCTATTTCATTTGCGCTTAGTGTCATGAATGCAGTTGGCTTCCCTAGCTGCCGAATCATTGCGAATAAATCTTTTTTTCTTGCTGACCAATACCAAACTGAATTCGGGTTTGACCGTAGAAAAGCTAAATTAGACCCTATGCAGCTATGAATATACTCTTCGGATTGAACTTGTTCCTTAGTTATATTGGTATCTGTACCAACATGTTTAAACGCGATCGTTAAACAGTCACGAACTCGCAGTCTCATTATTTTGACAGCTATATATAACAAATGATAGGGATTGACTCCTCGCCGTTTTCACTAGATGACATCATAAAAGGGGTATCCCTAAGTTTTCTAAAGTGTCCCATATAAATACTCGGAAATGATAGCTCTTCAGCATGCTCATCGAATAATAAACTTTGTGGGATATTGTGTTGCCCCGGCGCTAATCTTAAATATTTTTCTATATTCCATACCAAAGTTTTTTATTGAGTAGTTAAGCTTTCTTCAATCTCGATGTTTTCACTAAATTCGTCAATGTTCTGTTGTGTAATCAGGGGTGTTTTTTGATTAAAAAATGTGATAAACTGATCAACTGTGTTAATGCGGATATAAAGGTGTATAAATCAAATAATCCAACCATTGTCTAATTGATCCGATGCTAATTAGGCCATGAACAAAACTACTTTTATGAATCTTTTTGTTTTAATATGTACATAAATGCATATTCATCATTCATATCTCTTGGAATTAATCGTACCATTGTATCAACAGAAACAGGAACATTGATAATTCCTTGCACCTTCTCGTTCATTTACATTCTCTGGTTGTACCAACTATGGATCTGGGTAAGTGCAAGTTTGTTGGTGGCCATATAATTGTGTGTGTGTGTGTTTTGTTGTTTAGTCAGAAAACTTAAAATAATCATTTAAGTTCTCTGGTACAACACTTTTTTTAACCGTTTTTGGCCAATTGCCTCTTTTTCAAAGTGATTATCACAAATGAATGAGAAGGTGGTTGCAAAGTGATCAGAGGGAGCAATTTTCAAATTCGCCTTCCACATTTAAACAATTAACAAGCGGACGAGTAAATAAAAAACCGAACCAAACGGCACAAAATCACAAACTTTATGGATTTTGGCGGAATTATTGACACTTCGCAGTTTTATATAAGCTTAAAACATATTTACATACGAATACATAATGTATTTGATTTTTGCGCGATTATCGACACTTGACAATTTCACCTATGCGGAACAAAGAAAGCTAGTCACTTTCAATACATATTTATATACTTGGAGAACATACAAGAAGAAAATTGTTACAAGTTCTCTCTGGTATGTATGTGATATGTAAATATTTCTTTGATTTTGGCGCAATTATTGACACATCTATACTAATATTATAAAGCTGAAGAGTTTGTTTGTTTGTTTGAACGCGCTAATCTCCGAAACTACTGGTTCGAATTGAATAATTCTTTTTGTGTTGGATAGTCCAGTTATCGAGGAAGGCTACGACATTTACCACGAGGAGCAAAGATATAGTGGTAAATGTGTAAAAAACGGGAGAAATTATTTCATCTTTGAAGCCTTCCGTTGCGTGCGCTGTGAAAACGGTTCAAGATACACAAAAAATATGTATTAAAGAATAATAGCTCTTTTAATGATCTAAAAAACAGTCCGCGATAGTATATGTCTATCTTTTAAGATTAACTCACAAAAACCGTTTTTATGGTACCTAATTTGGTCGAAATAATTTGTTTAAGTTGTATCAACATAATAATATTAATCTTTATTCAAATAAATATGTTGTTGGTTTAGACTACTTCATTGTGAATAAAATTGTCTTTGACATAACTTAATTTCAACAAAAAACTTTAAAGATTACAATGATAAATAACTCCGAAACAAAACCAACTCGATCTCTGCGCTGGCCGGCGCGGCGAGAGAGGGGCGGTACTTGCGGCCAAGCCGGGAGGGGGGTGTAGCTCAACGAGATACCATGCCGCGCGGCTCAAGGCACAAACAGTCACCGACGCAAAACCGTGTCCCGCATCAGCTGATGCGACCTATCTTATGAGAGCGCAATGTAAATGATCAGTCACCACCGCTTCTACCGTCCGCTACAACAGACCGTAAGGTATGATATCCGCGAAAATTGGATTTTTCCCGTAAGCGGCCTTTACACGGTCATTTTTGTATGCAAGCATGTGCGGCGTGATGAGAAGAATGAGCGTGTAAACATAATAAATTCGTGTATGTCATACATGTGTGATGGTTTTTAAAAAATTTTAAAAACATGATGTTGTTATGAACATGTTTTATGGTGTAAACGCTTGCATCATGCTCTGCTTTCACACGAGCAAAAAGAGTCCAGCGACTCGAGTATAGTTTTTCTGTCTGTTTGTGCCGTTCGAATGCGCAACACTTAGAGTATGTTGCATATTTCATTTTTATGTTGGGATGGTGGTCCCACATTTTGCTTGCAATGAATTAGCATGAATGTGGTAGAACAATATGCATAATACCTGCTTAATATTTCCAAGGCCAAATTTATAACAGGAATTTCCTAATATTTATGTATCAAAAATTCATAATTTCTTTACTCAATATTTTTGGGATTCAAAAGTCTTTGTTTAAAAGGGCTAAATATTTTCAAGGCCAAATTTATAACAGGAATTTATGTATCAAAAATTCATAATTTCTTTACTCAATATTTTTGGGATTCAAAAGTCTTTGTTTAAAAGGGCTAAATATTTTCAAGGC